AATAAAAAAATAAGAGAAATTACCTCTGAATTCATTGATGTAAAACAGCTTAATCGTAAAGAATTTTTTTAAAGCTAAAATTTATTTTTATTTAAAAAATACTCAAGAAAGTTTAAAGAAGTCCAAAGGATCCAAAATATCCAAGCTTACTAAAGCTTGTAGTGAAGTCGTGGCCATGTCTTCTTCCTCAGCTTCAACTTCAACTTCAGCTTCATTCTGACCAGCGTGGTGCCTTGGAATTACTTCCAGATCGAAAGTAGACAATGGTTCTAATTTCCAGTGTTTGTAAAAGCCCATCACAGTAACGGTGACTGACCTAATACTTCCAGTAGCAGTTCCAAGATTGTAGTGCACGAAGCTGTATAATCCTGATCCCAAGGCACTAAGGAAAATCCAGAAATCCAAAGCAGACATCCAATTGATAAAAAGCAGATGTATCTGCAGATTTTATGGGGAAAGGGGTCCTCTGCTATCACCCACCACCTGATCCAGAGGTTATGCTGAGCCAGGATCGTGGCAAGTGGTGCCTGATATTTATGACAGAACCTCAGCAATGGTGAGAGTCCAGCAGTCACCCGGAGGGCAGATACAGTGTCTCCTCCGTCACATGCGTGTGTGACACTCCTTTAATGGTGATGAGTAGACTGAGTCAGAAAAAAAATTAAAGGGAGAACTTTTTTCTTTTTTTAAAAATTTTTTATTAATTTCAGTAAAAATTTACAGAGACTTTGGATTTCCATTCATTCATTGTTGCACTTTTCTCCCCTCCCAACCCTCCCCCCAGTACACTACCCTCTTGTAAAAATAAAACAAAAATTCTTTTATTGTTTTACAAACCCTCCCCCAGGTCCACTCCACCATGTAGCCTTTGCTCTAGACTCCTGTCATGACAAAAATACTTAATCACATATCCCTTTTAAACTGTTCTCTACCTCATCTGTTTCAATGCAGTATACATTGTTGAACCCATCTTTCTCAGTCTCCCCTCAACCCCTAGGTCAGTCCCGTTTTACAACAGTGGTACCATGTAGTATTTGTCCTTTTGTGACTGAGATACTTTACTCAGCATAATGTCCTCCAGAGTCACCCATTTTGAATAATATTGCATGAGTTCCTTGTTTTTCAATGCAGTGTAGTATTCCATTGTGTGAATATACCACAGCTTCTCTATCCATTCATTTGTTGATGGGTACTCAGGTTGTTTCCAACTCCTTGCTATTGTGAACAAAGCAGTGATAAACATGGGTGTGCATATATCTGCTTGGGTGTCAGTTATGGTCTCCTTGGGGTATATTTCCAGTAGTGGAATTGCTGGGTCAAATGGTATCTCTATTTGCAACTTTTTGAGAAAGTGTCATACTGCTTTTCACAGTGGTTGCACCATTTTACACTCCCACCAACAGTGAATAAGGGTTCCAGTTTCTCCACAACCTCACCAGCATTTGTTGCTTGCTGTTTTGTTAAATTTTGCTATTCTGACTGGGGTGAGATGATAATCTCATAGTTGTTTTGATTTGCATCTCTCTTAGAGTTAGGAGCTTTAAACATTTCTTCACGTGCTTGTTAGCCATCTGAATGTCTTCTTTGGTGAAGTGTCTGTTCATATCCTGTGCCCATATTTCTATTGGATTATTTATCTTTATATTGTGAAAGGGAGACCTTTTTAAAAAATTGGTTTAAAAAGCCGACTATTTGTGATAGCTTAATGGTAAGGAGTTGTGCTGCCAACCCAAAGGCACATGGTTCAAATCTACCAGCTGCCCCGTGGGGGAGAGACTGGCAGTCTCCTCTCTTATGACACATAGCCTGCTGGAAGATCAGCTTTGAGACTGTTCTGACTTGATGATGCATAACCAACATCAATTGTGTTTAGGGACAATCCGGTTGGCTGCTTTTAAACAAAGATGAATGGTCCTGTGGTTCATTGGCTAATGCATTGTGAGGGTAGGTGGAGAGGCATTGGACACTAGTTAGAAGGTCTGATCAGGGAGGACAGCTTGCTGACACCTTAGGTAAGTTTTGTGAGAGCCCTTCCAGCATCCCATAGGCCTGGACATGGGGTCCATGCTGTGTGTGGTGCCAGCCCTACCTGGGCACTCTCTTGGTGAAGGAGCCTGGCTGGGCAGCAGTGCTCCATGGCCATCAGGGATGGTCATCAGAGACCTTCTTGTGGGTCCTCAGTGGGAGGGGCAGCAAATGTGTGTGTCCTGACAGCAGCGAGGGCCTTACTGCCGGAGTACAAGGGATGCTGAGGACCAGTTCGTCTTCCAGGCCTGGAGGTCCGTCCGCATTACATTGTCCTCTCATATTGGGCCCTTGGCAGTGGTGGTACCGAGTCAGCCGTGAGGGGCCTTGGTGTTGAGAAGTCACACGTAGCCTCTGTCTCATCTCACTAGTCCATCAGTTATGCCTTCAGAAGAGCTGCTCTGAAGGGGACTGCAGCTGACCGTGTAAGCGACAAGTCTGCATCTCCCACGGAATGTGCTGGTAGTGTCCCATCCACCTTACCAGTCCTGGACGTCCTTCCCTGGTCCTCTGTCCCCTGCAGTCTCTGCCAGCTCCTACTGCTTTGTTCCTCGAGGTTCTGGTTTGGTCTGGAGAGGATATTTAGCCTGTAGAAATAACTGTACACTCAAAGGATCCGGCTCCTGGCTGACTTTTAGGAATGTCTTCCAGACGATTGCTGAATTACGGGTGTGGAATGCTGTTTCTGTGCCAAAATCGGGACCTGCCACCCCATTGTTGGCTTCTTGGTCACAACTCATGGCTCTGCCCCAGAAGATCAGGAAGTAACCTAGCTTTGCTGGCAGGAAGCTGCTCTGTGGGAATTGAAGGCCAACTTCTGGTGCAGGGCTAGTTAGCTGGCCTAGCATAGATGTTGTCTTACATACGTGGATCTAACTGTCTGACTGAGATTAAGCCCTGGACCCGACACGTGCCAGGAGGAAGCAAGCGTGACCGAGCCCCAATGTCTGCATGCGAGGAGGCCCCAGGGAGTGAAGACCCAGACAGGACAGGGTGACCACTGCCCCTGCTGTGGCGCTCCGAGTAGACACGTGTGGGAATACAGGCAAGTGCGGCGTCAGCCAGTGCAGGGTCTCTCAGGACACATTTCTGCAGACTTGTTTGTATGTCTGCAGTTCAGTTTAATAGACAGCATGCTGTGAAGGCAGGCAGCATTTACATAAATCCCTCCATTAAAATATTAATAATTAACACCGTTGCATAATAACCCATCCTTTATCTGTTGGCTACTTCATACCTCCTTTAATTGGGACAAATTTAATTCTTCAGTACGCTCTGCATGCCATGGACTCACTTTTTACATTTTGGTGTCATAAAGTAAACAGCGCCTCAGAGTTTCCCTTTTAAAATGTGTTCCATTCCTCAGACTAAGGCATAACCAGTAAACTGACTGAGGCAGGAAGCAGTTACCCTAAACAAGGCAGCCCTGTGAACTCTTGACTGCAGTGCCCACCAGCACTTTGTCTGGACAGGTGATCCCTTTGCTCTCAATGGCTGGCTGTCCTGAGCCATCTGTCCACCTCCCACTGCTGCAGGTCACCATGGGGGCCTGGCTGCTGGATGAGTGGAGGTTGAGCAGTGGGAGGGAGGTCTGTTCCAGGCTCGGAGGTTGCCCAGGGGCCTGGTCTTGGAGAATCCTTAAGGCTGTGCTGGGTCAGTTGCTGTACTGTGCTGTGGAGTCGGAACCGACCATAACCGACCCTCCAGTGGGTTTTCAGGGGCAGTCAATCTCACGGGAGGGAATTGTCCATCCTTCTCCCATAGAGCGTCTGGCGGATTCAAACCTCTGCCTTCAGGATTGTAGTACAGCTGCTTACCACTAGGCCACCTAGCCTTTTTTTTGTGTGTGTGATTTTGGGAGTTTGTCCTATAGTAATGACACTTTTTTTCGGGTGTGTGGGGGAGGTCAGGAGGTTTCAGTTTTTATTTATTGTTTATCTCTTTATTATTCTTTTTTATTGAAATTTTAGTGAAAGTTTATAGAGACTTTGGATTTACATTCATACATTGTTGCACATTTTCCTCCCTGTCCACCCCTCCTCCCCAGTTGGTTTTTCTCTTTGAAAAGAAAAAAACAAAACAAAACAAACTTTCATTATTATATAATCCACCCCCCCCAAGTCCACTCCCCCATGAAGCTCTCATTCTGGACTCTTGTCATGAAAATAATGACACATCTTTACCCTGCTTTTTCTTCAGGAAGAAGAGCTGAGGAAAAGCGGAGAAGCCAAGTACTTCCATCTCAACGATGATCTCCACGTGCTCATTGAAGTATTCGCCCCACCAGCGGAGGCCTATGCCCGCATGGGACACGCTTTGGAAGAAATCAAGAAGTTCCTCATCCCCGTTAGTACTTCCTTCATGCTTTAAAAGTCTCCCTGCCTTTTCATCCTTAATCACTGTTGTCCTTCACTGTAACTTGTCCAGCAGTCCACCAGTTGCGGAGTTCCATGTGCATCATCCTAGGTAGACCCCACAGCCCCTGAGAATGACTCAGCGTTGTTTCTTCTTTACAAAGCGGAGGAGTTTTAGCAAGGGTTAGTAATACTCCTCGCGTTCCTCAGCTGGCATGTTGCGGAGGTCAAGTCCTGCAGAGCTTTGCGGTGGCACTTACACAGCTTCAAGTTCATTGTATCCAGCACAAACTCACCATTGCTTCCCAGGCCTCTCGCTCTGCTGAGGGCTGGACAGAAAGATATGAGTGCAGGCTCCCTCTGTAGGAACGTGTAGTCTAAAGGGGAGAGACCCATAAACAGATGACCGGGGTACAGCGTGAGAAACACGAGGGTTGATGTGAGCTTGTGAGCACAGAGAGGCAGGGCACCTGGCCGAGAGCCGAGAGCTGGCCAGCTTCTCGGATGCATGGGAGCACTTGCTAGCCTTTGTATGCTTTCAGACACCTTGACATTGTTGACATTATGATAATGCCAAGGGCATGTATCTCCACCTTCACTTTATAAAGTAGTAGATGCCTTTTGTGTAAGTTGCATGAGGGATTGGAATCTCCTTAGTGACCCCAGGCTGTGTGGTGGATCCCTGCAGCCCTGTGGTCTGTGATCACATTAGCTGTGAGGGGAAGGGGAAAGTGTGTGTGTGTGTGTGTGTGCGCGCGCGTGTGCGTGCACACACGCGCGCGTCTGTCCATAGGGCGAAGGTTGACTCGGAGCTGACTCTCCATTGGGTTTTCAGAGGCACAGGATCATTTGACGTCATTCTCTAGCAGAGATGCTGGTGGATTGGATCCTCTAGCCTTTGTGTAGACAGCACAGCTCCTTGACACTAGGCCACCAGAGATGCTCGTAGAAAGGTTTAAACCAAGATTGTCTTGATAAAACCAGGACGTGGAAATCATTACGAATTTCACATGGGGAGCTGAAAATGTTCCAGATTGCCTGTATTAATCCCATTTAAACCCAAACTCATTATGTCATTGGCACATGTAGCATATCCCTGCCGTTAAGGAGTTTATCATCTCTTGGGAGAGATGATATCATATGTTCATAGCTACACATCCAGAATCACAGCTATCACAAGGCCAGGAAGGTGGTTATACCTTAGTGGGCACGCAGTGATGACCAGGCCGTGCTGGCCTAGCCAGATGGACAGATTATATTTCCCAAAGATGGCAGTGTTACCTCTGGTCCCACGACTCTGCCGCTCCCTGCCCAGGTGGTAGCCGGGCTGCAAGCTCTCACACTGTCAATCTGGACTGGCCAGAAGAATGCTTGGTCTCCCACAAGGTACAAAGATTCTCTGCGAATTTTTCTTGAGATGGTATAGTATAAGTGCCTTTATTTAAGACTGTGATCCATTTTGAGTAAATTGTGGTGTGTAGTATGAGGTGAGGTTATGAATTCATTCTTTTCCATGTGGATAACTGGTCGTCTGACTCCAGTTATTAAGACTACGCTTCCCTCCATGACATTGCCTTCACACCCTTGTTGAACATCAACCGAACATAAGTGTAAACATTATTATAAGTGTAAACTTTATTATAAATTTTTGAGTCTTCCAACTTTGTTCTGCTTTTCCATAATTTTAAATGTTCTTTTATTTCTCCGTTATAAAGTACCAGCAGCTTGTAAATTCCGGCAAAAAATACTGTCAAAACTCCTGATAGATTATTACATTGATTCTTAGGTGCTCATTTGGACGTGATTTCCACTTTCATACTTTCCAGCCATGGACATGAAATGTCTTTCCATTCCCCCCACTCTCTCATTTTTCTCAGTGGTGTGTTAGGCACTATTGTTAGGGCACCAAGCTCACCTTTCTTTGTTAAATTTATTTCTACTATTTTACGCTTTTAAACACTGTTGTGAATGGAATTTTGTTTTCAATTTCCTTTTCAGATGGTTACTAATGGATAGAAATAAAGTCGCTTTCTAGATGCTGATCGTGAATCTGTAGTTTCCCTTCTTTTGTAAACAAATGCATTGGTCTTTTACATCCTAGATTATGTATGTCAGCTTCAGATAGGGGCTGTTTTGCATCTTCTCTCGGGCTGGTGTGGCTTCGGTTGTGTTCCTTTTTTCGTCTTGTGCTGTAACATTGAGCGCAGTGTTGAATAGAAGGGTGCCCTTACTTCCTGCCCAAGTTTAGGAGGACAGCATTCAGCTTCTCATTGTTGTGATGTTAGTTACCTATTTTTAAAAACGTTTTTATCATGTTCTGTTATAGTTCTTTCTGTACCTACCTGGCAAGTGTTTAGGATCTTCTCTCTCTTGAGGTTTATTCTTTCAGTGTTAGTGTACTGCACTGATTGATTTTGGATGTGAAGCCCACCTTGCTCTCCTAGGATGCACCTTGCTTTGCATTGGTGTGTTGTCCACGCCCTGAAAGGTGCCTGTAATACTCAGCTACTAACTGGAGGAACGAGTCCACCTTGGAGCTCCTCAGAAGAAAGGCCTGGTGATCTACATTTGAGAAGTCATCTGAGGAAAACCCAGTGGAGTGAAGTTCTCCTCAGACACCCTGGGTCACCCCACAGTTATATAGAATGAAGCTGACTACCTATTTTTCCTGCTGCATTTCACTCATTCATAGTTTATTATGGAATTTCAAAGCTAAGCTCATGGAGGATATTGGTCTGTAGTATGTTTTTCTTGGAAAATTTTGATCTGGTTTTGATATCAAGGATAATACTATTTCAAAGAATGGCCTTTGCATATTCCTCAAAGTGCTGGCAAAGGATTGATGTGCCTTCTTTTAACTGTCTGGTAGAATTCAACACTGCTGTCTTCTGGGCCTTGGCTTCCTTTGTTGGGCGTATTTTTCGTTATTAATCTGATTCTTCTTACTGCTCTATTCATATTTTCTATTTTGTTTAAAATCACTTTTAGGGACATACATATTTCTTGGAGTTTTAAATACCCTGTGAAATGTTAATTTGTAGGCAGGACGTTGTCTGCTGTTACCCCATGTCGTTCTCCTCGTTTCTGGAGTGGTGTTGAGATGGTTCCCTCCCATTGTCTGGTTGGGTTGTTTGTGTAACCACTTAATCTGTCATTCTCGCTCTTTTTTTGATCTGTTTATGTACAAAGCTTTTTTCACTCTTTCATTGTTATTATTCATAAGGATCAGTCTGTTTTACTGGTTTTCTTCGTCACTCTCTTTGTGTGTATGATTTTGTCTTTTTATTATTTCTTTCATCTACTTTGAGTGGACGGTTTTGATTGTTCAAGTGGACAATTGTTATTTGCCATTGAGTCAGAACTGACCCCTATCTGACCCTCCAGCGGGTTTTCAGAAGCAGTGAATTGCCAAGAGGCATTGCCCATCATTTCCCTGTGGAGCTGGTGGTGGATTCAAACCATGTGCCTTTGAGATCGCAGAGGAATTTCTTACCACGAGGTCATCTGAGTTATTGTCCTGTATCAGGAGCCTTAAAAGCTCTAAGCATTGCTTGTTGGCATATGTTCATTCCAATGGAATATCTTCTGTGGACTTGAAAATAATACATACTCTGTGTCACTTGATGGAGTGTTATTGCAATGTCAGTTACATAATGAATTATGGGTTAAATTTTCTGTGTTCTTGGTGATTTATATTTTCTAGTTCTTTGATTTACTGAGAGCGAGAATCAAGCTTGCGTCTTCTATTGTGGTATCATCTTCTGCTTCAGTTCTGTCAGTTTCTGCTTTGTAGACTTTTGTGTTCTCTTGCTCAGTGTGTATGCTTGTAATTGTCTTATCTCCTCGTATGTTGTCCCTTCTCTAGTGTTGATTTTAAATGTCTGTGCTAATAGGTGCCTGGTACTCACAGTCTGCCTCCACCTCTCTCTGCTGTCTACGTCTTTGCCTGTCTTTCTCCTCTCTTGACCTTTAACATATTCATGGCTTTGGCTCTCAGTTATTTCTTCTTTGTAAAGCATATTGTTTATTCTCTTCTGTTTTGGTCTTATAAACTAGCCCAGCAATCTCTGCTTTTTGATTGGAGTTTTAAAATCCATTTCTGTGTAATATAATTATATGGTTGGATTAACAAACACGTTTTGTTCCTCCTCTCATGCTTTATTTTTTGTCCTACTCTCTTTACTGCTTTCTTTTGTGTTAGACAGAAATAGTTGTGCTTACTGGTTAATTCCTTTTTGTTGTTGACTCTTTTTCGGTCGCTCTAGTGATTGCAATATGCATCTTCATTTATCACAATCTGTTTTGAATTAATACTAAATTAGATAGGCCAATTTGCCTCACTATCGCTCGGTTTCCCCACTTTACTTGTGCATTAAGTTTTATAAATCCAATAATACAGCATCACTGGGGGTGTGTAGTGATCTTTTGATCCACTTTTGTGCTCAGCATGACCATGGTCACCTTGGAAAGACACAGATGGCCTCGCGATCCACGTTATAACCTCCCCATCCCAAATTGTGTTCCCTCACCAGCCACATCGCACTCCTTCCAGTTCTGTGGCCTCATCGTTATCCTGGGCTTGAACTTGCTGTTTCCTCCCCTGGAACTCCATTGCTCCTCATTCTGCAGTTCGTTCACACCCATCCTTGTCTGGCCCTTCCACAACCTCTCTGATTACACATCTGCTGTCTTGTTTGTTTACAAGAGAAGACACTAGTTCTTTCATATTATGTGCCTTTCCCAGTGAACACTGGAGTCTGGGGTGATAAGGAAGAATGAGACCCATGGACCTTCCTGGTCGTGTGTCTAGGTGATGATTAAAGATGAAGAGTGCGTTTTCCGGACAAGGATGCTAGGTCCAGTCTGGGAAATGTTGAGCTCCAGGTACATTAGCAGTATCAAGGTGCCAACGAGTTATAGGCACAATATCTGGTACCAGGAAAGCTGCCATCTTGTATGTATTTCTGTTATTTCTCTTTTTCTGGGTCAGGAGTTCCTTGACTGCATACACTAAGGCTTTCTTTTCCATTTTTCATGACTTTGTGCAGCTTTGATGCTTAAATAACTAGTTGAATTGAATAATAAATAACCATTTCCATACATTGCTCACTTGGTATTTTAATATTACTGTAAATGTTCCTCTTGGAAAATGTGCCCCAAGAAAGTATTAGGGAAGATTATTGGAAATCACAGTTTGAGGAATATTATTTTGAACTTCTCTTTCACAGTTTACAAAATTCAGTGGCATATTTTCATTTTGACCGACCGAATGCCGTCTTGTTCTGTGAATTCAGCTTTCCTCGTCTCATATTACACAGTGGTTTGCTTCTCACCCCGAGCACATTCATACTCTGAACACGCGATGAGCTGTATTTCTCCTGTCTTCTGTAGGACTACAATGATGAAATCAGGCAAGCCCAGCTCCAGGAGTTGACATACTTGAATGGAGGTTCAGAAAACACCGACGTCCCAGTGGTGCGAGGGAAGCTCCCCTTGCGGACACGAGGTGTACCTGCCCCCACGGTCACCAGGTGAGTGTCATTCGTTGCTTGATGTGTGTATGTGTCAGTATGTCCAGGTCAGTGAGCCAGGGCAGCACTTCCGACACTAGCTTGTTCACTAGCATCGCCGAGAGCTCTGGAAGTCTGTAGGCCAGTATTCAGGCCTGGTGATGCCATGTCACAGGGATTCACGTAGAAGTGACATTGCTGGGCTGAAGGGAACCCTGCACCCTTTCTGGCTATGACACGGGAATTTATTTTCTCACCTTCCCTTTTATTCTGTGTTATTTCCCATGGGCTGGGTGACTGAAGCACAGCAAGCATGTCAGCCAGCAGCTCGAGGCCGTAGACAGTGTTCACACAGGGCCCGGCCCACCTCCTCATAGACAGTGTTCACACAGGGCCCGGCCCACCTCCTCATAGA